GGTCGACGATTAATTCAACTTTCGCTTTCAAGTTCGTCATGCATGGCCTTCGTCCTCTTAAAGCTGACTCGAGTCTGCTCAGTTACGGCAAAGTGACATTCGAGGTTGAATCCCCAACTGTTGACGGCGTGATTGTTGCGGGAATTATGATAGGTGAGTATTTCGAGAACGTTTTCTTCTCTTCAATAAACTCGATTTTTTTTCTAGGCGATGGATCGGATGATGAGGTAGACATCGAGTTCGTTTGCGCAGAGCCGACATCCTGGCAAACCAATGTTTTTGTTTCCGATCCCCGAAGCCCTAAACCGCTTTATGGTGTCTTCAGTTCGAAGGAGAAGGTGGATAACATTACTTTTCTCCATTCCTACTCCATCGAAGTTACCCCGGAGAGAATTTTGTGGAGTCTAGATGGGGAGGTTATCCGGACGCTGGCCAAAGGTGAGTAGATCATTGGAATTGAGTCTTTGAGCGTTTAAAAAATCGTATTCGAAGATCAGTGCACAAGGAATGGATTTTCTCACTATCCAACCCATAGCATGCGCCTCCAACTGGGTATGGGTGATCGTGCTGTCCCACCCTTTAATGTAATTCGTGCTTGCAGGTATTTGGGATGCCAGCAAGCCCGCAGGGACTGCAAAGTGGGCGGGTGGACCAATTGATTGGAGCAAAGCACCGGAGAAGATTATGGCCACCATCAAGAGCGTCGCTGTCGACTCGGAGTGCGGTCCATGAAGATTTAATTTAATTTTTGTTGGATTTCAAAGTTGCGACTCCAGATCTCTGGGAAACCCAGTCTAGACGATCCGAATGAATTGTATTCCAGTGATCGCGCCGATCTTGTTTTACAGGTCCAGGTTTCTTTATTTCGGTGCTTTCGGTGAGTTTCGGTGCAAATGATGGAGGCTTTGTATCACACGACTGTTTTGTGTACATGTCAGGTGACCGCGATCCTACCGTCCTTTCTCTGTCCATCCCGCTCTGACTCCCACTCTACTCGATGTTCGACCAAGACGCGCGCTGGCCCTCTGCTCCATCCTCCTCCCCTCCGTCCTCGCCGACCGCATATAACGATTCCTCGCCTGCGTCGTCTCCTAGGCCAGACTACGCGAACGATGAATACGGCGGGGAAATGTCGCGCGCGTCGCCTCCCGTGGACCCGTTTGCGGCCTCTGCAAAGAAGTCGTGGATACCTCCAGAATACGAAAAAGGTGTAAAGAAGAATCGTCGGGCGTCTCCGTCCTCTCCTTCCCGTGGCCGCTCGAAGAAACCGCGTTTGATTGGCCCCGAGTCGTCCCTAGAGACTGTCGTGGCATTCCCTCCACGTGTGTCTGTTCCCGAAACCGACGAAGAGAAGGAGGCCGCTATATGGGAGGCTGCTATCACCCAAATGTTCAATAATGTGAATGGGACTATCAAACTGGAGTGAGGTTCCTTTTTGCTTTGTGTCGTCAATTGATGTCCATAAAGGAACTCCAATTTGACTTGTTTCCCGGACAAATTCATCAGGGACCTCAGTTGCTTTGTTGCGCCGGACAAAGAAGTCGAGACTATACCACTGTCTGCCTTTACGCCATCGTTGCAGCGGATATACAGTCGTTCAGTCACAGCTCCTGCCGTTTTCTCTCGTGTTCCCGACAGTACTACCGGCTCCTCCCGTCAAGATATCCAGTTATATCTCGCGGGCAATCAGATTGCCAGGCTACCCATTTCATTGTCATGTCTGGACAAAATGACAGTACTGAGTCTGAGTGGGTGGTTTTCTACATACGACGATGCATCCTAACACCAGCTGCAGGAAACAACAAGCTCAAAGCATTACCTCCTGAGATCTGTCGATTACCGAACCTCCACACGCTAAATGTCTCCGGAAATTTACTCCAGCACCTGCCGGCTGGAATGCTCGATATGAGACTAAAAGTATTGAACCTTTTCCCCAACCCCTTCATCGAGCACCCGTTCGAACGTGCGACCTCGTCGAGACGACGCCAGAAATCTCAAGGGCGTGTCGCAGTCTCTTCAACATCCCGCACTCCAGGACGCATCCCATCCCTGGTCGAGTTATGTCTTCGCTCGCTTTTTTCGACAGTCTCTGCGGACACGACAGACTCTGTGGACACGATAGACTCTGCGGACACGACAAATCACGCGGAGTGGCGGATCGACAAGTACTATGAAATCCCGTTGTGCGAGACGGATATTCGCCTCTCCCGCTCTAGCAAGATAGAGTTTCGGCAGGTTATCCCACCGCATATCCGTGGCATTCTCCATGCCATTCATCCGGACAGCGTGGACGCGGGCGTGATCAACGACGATCCGCCGAGTCTCGGCGTGTGTTCTTCCCCTCTCCACCATGCATCCGTGTTTGTGACTCCGGCGGAAGAGCGATACACGTGGGAGACGGTCGTCGCCGGTGTCAGCGTAGGCGGTAGTGTGCCGCTGAAATGGCGGGGCTGCTTGTACGGGTGTTTGGATTTCTTGGGCGCCGAGGTCGAGATGGAGCCACCGTCGCAAGCTGTCGTGCCGACGGACGAAGAACAGGAAGCGGTTACCCGCCTGCAGATAGATGGACTGCGTGCGGACGACTATGGGGATGAGGGATGATTTCTGTGTACTGTCGTAGCTGCGCATTTTTTCAGATTCTGGCATTTTTCACAGCCTCAAGTTCGGCCGCCTCCAGTTCTTCAAGGTTCCTGCGTCCAAGGCGTCTGCATAACGGATTCGATGCGCACTAGTACCGCGAAAATTCCCAGTCTAAATCGCCCGGTCAATTTTCTCTCGCCTTTCTTGAGGCGCGATCTCTGTTGTTGAACTCTTACTCTGGAATATGAAACGGCGGCAGTTTGGAATCTACACAGGAAATTGCACAGCGTTCATTTCTGCTGTGTTTTCACTCTCAAGTTCCCTTGATTCTCGTCGCGCGATCATTTCTCTTCTGGTGTTGAACTGTTGCTAGAAATATCAAACGGCGGCGGTTTGGAATTTACATTTCTGCTGTGTTTTCAGTTTCAAGCTGGGCGGTGAAGCCGCGAATCTTTTGATCTTCACTTGGTAGTATTCCAAGATCGACTTCACTCTGAGCGGCCGGTACCTTTATAATTGAGCCACGACAAACCCTTGCTCGACACTGGTGGTGAAGTGATACCTTCGTCCCCAAATGGAACACAATCAACAAGACTTGAGCTATAAACTATAAACCTTCCTCCCCATACTCAGTCAGACAGTGATGGTGCATCAGGAAATTTGCACGAATGGCCGGATCTGGCCGGATGATCAGCGTCCGCCTCATCAGATCAGACACTGCTGATCATTCCGCTGACGCGGCCGGACGACTGCCAGATCGTAGCTAGCCAAGTTCGCCAGCACGGATGAGCTGAGGCCAGGCTGTCGTGATATGTCCCGACGGGCGGGACATCATCCGGCTGGCGGGGCCTAGGGCCGCCGCAGGTGACAGGGTGTACCATTTATTAAAATGATTCAATGCTTTCAGGACCCGCCGCATGCAATAAAATAATAGGTGAAGAAATTGTTATTTGTAAGGGAATACAGAAAACATCAATCCGCGCGGATATCCAAAGCTCCATCGCAGCGCATCCCGAGTGTCATTGCCGCCTTGTTGGTGATGGCAGCGGCAGCACGCGCAAACGTGCACTCATTCCACCAGCTGAGGAGCGTCGCCTGGCGGTGCTCTTCTGCTCAACCGCGGGTCTGCAGGTGAGTCAGTCAGCATGAGCGAAATACAAAAAATGCGCGCGACATACCTTGCACAGAGTTGTCCTCGCCGCGTGCCCTGCACTCGGAAGTACTTGCATTCTTGAACTCGTTGTCTTCGGTCGTCCGGACGCGTCACGCGAATTTCGGGAACACAGTGGACTGACTTGTTCAGGGAGAGGACAGACGACGCAAGGGTCACAAGCACGAGAAAGGATATCCACAGCATGGTACAGAACACCAAGGATTGAGTTAGTTTGAAGATTGAGTCATTTTGAAGTTGCGGCTAGCTCGAGAGGGGTCTTGAGGCTTGAGGCTTGAAGTTGTGAAGTTGACGCTAGCTTGAGCGGATAGTACTCGAGTAAGGGCTGTCGAGGCTTGGACAATCTTGGTTTGAGTAGGTTTGAGGAGCACGAAGCTAGAGACGAGGGGGGTAGGGCCGCGTGCTGACGATTGAATGGGATCTTGCACTCGTGTGGAAATTATGAAGGAAAGCGAACGAAATAGGAAGGCAAAGGGTGAGCGGGGAGGAGGGCAGTGAGGAGGGCAGTGGTGGGGGGAGGAGGGGAGATGGAGGAAGAGAGCGACCAACATGCATTAGCCGAGTCACGCCATCGGATGGCAACCTGCATCAATTTGATCAAAACAATTGATCCCCGAGCGGAGCTCGAATGACTTGGACATTTTGTGGGCGCCGCGGGCGCGCACCTCACCAGCATTGACAACATCGAGCTCAACGCTTTTTTTGGCCCCCCAAAGCTCCATACATGGCGGGGATTGTCTAGATTTGCTGTTTTAAACATTATCGGCGCCGGTGGCGCTCAACCCATAGCTACATGTCTGGCCCTATGATTCAATTCAGCACTGGCCTTTAATTATACGGACTCGACATTCTGGTCCTAAGCCGACCAGCGCTGGTGCGCCCAGATATCAACGCACCAACTCGCATCAGCCCGCCATCAAATCACCTGCTCCATCAGCTGATATCCGGCGGCTGCCTATTTCCTGATGTGAAGCGGTTATCATCATCGAGCGATCAAATTAGCAAAACTCACCAAAAACTCACAAAACCTGAACTCAGCTTGAACTAGACCCTCCTCTAGACTTTCTACACCTTCCCACCTCATTGTACCTCTCTCCTCGTGCCCCATGGCATTGATGGTGAAGCGGTTATCACAGTCGATCGAAGAATAGTGCATAGGCTATCTCATTCAAATTTAACACAACTTGAACCGGGTCTTCTCCTGCATATTCTCCCACCTCATGGCGCCTCTGTCCGGACACCCAGTATGACACTGATGGTGAAGCGGTTATCATGCTTGCCTTCCAAGCAAAGTCACGTGATCATAACCGTCACGTGTCCGCTTAGCAAGCGGCAGGGGTTCGACTCCCCTTCAGTGTATATTTTTGTGTCCTTTGTGACTTCATCATATTTTGACCAGTCCCAATGCAGACATGTGTCCGCATTACCTTTGTCTTCCTCTTCTTCGTGGGATAAGCTGAAATGCGGCGGCGCTTGTCTTCGTGGGCTACTCCTTACTAGCGACATGCAGCTACCTTTCAATTTGTCGTATATCATCTTCACTCCCAGACATGTGCGTCTTCCGGGTGAACCAGTAGTCCCACCTATTCGGGCCAGAGCCACTTCGTCAGAACGTTTCGTTTTCGGTCTGGATTATCTTGACCAATAAAGCAGGAACCCGTGGCCAGCTCGTCTTGTAGCCGGGACCAAATCTCGTCGAACCTTTAGGTCCATTTGCAGACTGCGCGGCTCAGCCTCGACACCTCCAGAACATTTCGAACAAGGGCCTGATCCTGAAGGCCTGAAGTGCAATGATTTCAAGGTGGTAATCAATACTGACGAGTTGACGTTCTTACGAAATCCTTGATCAGTGTCCCGAACGCAAATGAACAACACTACGCTTTTCTTACTATGAAGAAGATACCATTTCATTGCACTTGAGATACAGGAAAGGGTCAGCGAGGAAATGCGACAGGAAATCGTAGTGCGAAGATAAATATGCAGTGAGAATGTACTGTGTGATGGAAAACATAGCAAAAAAAAACCGCAATTCATGACGATTCTCCAAAGGCACCCATCTCATTCACCCCGCCTCCATTGAGCATTGCCTTGAGCGTCTGCTCGTTTCTCTTCTGTCTCACCCGCTCCGCCTCCTCCGCTCCGCCTGTCATCTTGAGCTTCTTCCCCGCGACGAAGTCGCTCAGTTCAGCCTGCATCTCATCCGACCTGCTGGCAAGCTCCTTCTCCCTGGTCTTTTGGCTCGCTTCGATGGCCTTCATCCGTCGTTCAGGATCCACAGCTGCGCCCCGGATCTCCATCATGACGGTGCTCAAACCGCCGTGTCCTTCTTCAGGGGCCGGGGGACGGAATCCCTTCCTTCCATTACGACTACCGACCGACCCAGGGCCACGAATGCTGATGATCTTCTCCACATGCCCATAGACTTCCACCAACGCCTTGTGGTCCTCCAGTAAATCTTCGAGGAATTGTTCCTGGTGAGTGAGGAACCCTTGCTCGTCAACAATGTTCTGCAATTCCTCCTCCCACGTCTTCTTCCACATCGGTTTGATTGTGTTGATGTGCTCCTTCAAGCTCTCCAGCTCCGCCGCGACAGTGTCGATATCCTTCTTGATATTCTTGAAGTACTGCGCTTTGGGCGAGATCTGCCGCTTGATCACGTCGTCCTTGACGCCCTCGACGGTGTCCTGTAGTTTCTCCACCTCCGTCAACACGTTTTGGCTCCGAGTATCGAGCTTCTTCTTCCCCGTGTCGATGTAACCCCTTGCGCCGCCAACGCTCGTACTCGCCAGCTGCTTGACAGACTGCGTCTGCCCCCGAAGAGTTCCTAGCGATTCCTTCGTGGACTTCATAAACTCCGTATACAGCTGGCGCATAACCCCTAAATCTCGTCGCAGATTCTGGACCTCGTCGAACTGGGTTTTGAGATCCGTGACGACCCGCGAGGAATAATCGGACAACATGGAGCCGCCCGTCATTTGTGGCTGGAGGGACTGGCCTGTCATTTGAGGCTGCATAGGCATGGGGGCAACAGGTGTCACGAAAGACGGGCCTTCTCCAACGAATCGAGACAGCCGACGAGCGACGGTCTGGAATTGACGGTCGGTCGGTCTATTGGGCGCAGGAGTACTTTCCGCCAACGGTTGCCCGACAATGTTAGGCACGTGTATGGACTGCCTGTTGTTGTGAACCGCGGTTTTGAGTTCTTTGATGTCCTGCGACAGATGCGAGATCTGAGCGTCGATGTGTTGTTTAATTTGGTCAAGTGCTGTAGAACAGAATAAGATCAGGGACGAAGAGAGAACGTCTTCAAGGACGTACGCTCAATGTTCAAAGAAAGCAAACACCTTTCCTTGACCTCTTCCATGTCCTCCAGCTCATACTGCACCCCACTTGATGGATCGCGAATATAAATGGCCGGGAAATTCTCGAGGCCCGGATTGTACGAGAACTTATCGACAAACAATACCCGAAGCGACGCGAAGGAGAGTCCCTTGTCGATCGTCACCTTTTTCACTTCTTTTCCTAATTGTAAGAAAACGGTGACTCGAGAAGTATCCTGCGATGGCTGTACGGCAGGAACGTCAACAAAAGGTTGTTCAGATGTCGAAGACAGAGGAGCCACGGGCTCGGGTGTCCGGGCTGGGGTTGCAGGAAGGGGAGGAACAGGAGGAGTGCCAGTAACTTCTTGGCGTCGTTCAGGTGCAGCCGTGGGACTACTACGAGACCGTGAGCTACCCCGCCTCAGCAGAGGAGCAGATGGTTCCTCGCTGTCTACCTCAGTGATCTCGGCGAGGTCTCCAAGTGTTAGCGCTGTTCCAGCAGCCAACGACCGCCGATTCGGAGCGCCGACCCCGGTTCGCGTGGATCGCTCCCGCGTTGTTGGGGCACCCGTCATTTTCGATATGTTATAAGTCGAAAAACGCTTGGACGCTCTACGTTCCAACGTATCACTCTTTTTCAGAGCGGCAAGTGAATTTGCCATAGCAGGCGCCTGCATAGAATCCATGGGCGGCGTGTCTGGAGGAGGAGACATTGTTCCATTGACTCGGTCGAGATCCGGACTCGGGCTTGAAGGCTCCACGACAACGGCTGGAGTTCCGAGTGGTTTATCCACCAATGAATACCGCTTTACACTGGGTGGAACATTTTGCGCAGCAGGGGGCACCAATGTTTGATCGTTCGGAGAGTTGGAGGGAAATTGTTGTTGTTGGAATGTGTCGGCTGGAGGTGGGTCAATAGGAGGCGGGACTGTTCGCGTTTTGCGAGGCTGGGAATCTGTTTGCGGAAAATATTCAGGATGTGGAGGCGCTTCTGATTCCGCAGCTGGTTCCGCGATTGAGGGTACAAACCCGCCAACAAAAGGCTCCTCATTGGTCGAACCACCGTTCAGCGGCGAGCCGCTGAGAGAAGGAGAGCCAGGATCCCTTCGTCGACCCGACGACTGCTGCGTGCTCCTCCGGGAGGAAGCACTGTCACGGTCTCGCAGATTAGAGGTTGGCGTTGGAGGAGTATCAGCCTCGTTAAAGTTTGTCCGAGAGAGCTGAGACCGGTGAGAGCCCTCTCGGCGCGCGCGCGAGGAGCGACTCTCTGCTCGTTCGGAACCAGATTGCTCAGACCGCCGATGATCAGATACTATGCGTCGATAAATGGATTGCTTGCCACGAAGGCCTTGCAGCAAATTTGTTATTATCTGCCGCACGGTTGGAAGATAAAGTTCGAGGTTATCTGGAGTAGCATCTTCTGCAAGACATTGCTCCAGAACATTTCGTAAGTCATCGGGCACGCTCATTAACTCACTTGAACAACTGGTTAACGATTATGGAATAGACGAGAGGATGTGATACGGACGTCATGTCGATATTGAAGGCCGCAAATGCTGCGACGGCAGCATTGAAGTCATTACCCAATCGAACGTACACGTCGCTAACATTGTTCTCGTCAATCTTGAGTAAACTCCATTGTGTGAGGGCCTCCAGTAGTTGTTTAATAGCGACAAGCAGACGGGTCACTGCGGACTCCACAGCGGGCTTTCCTTCAAGTCAGCGAAGTTACTTGAATCGCAAGACATTGTAACGCACATGAGAGGCGCTTCTGGACCCTCCTCGTTCGCTCCGACCTGACGTAGAGTGGGTGGATGAAGACGACTGGTTATTCTCGCGACGTGACCCCATTCCAGCCGCTGGGTTTGAGGGTAGGGTGTTCCTGTTCGACATAGCAGCGAGTCTGCGAAGTGCGAAGAGAACGAAGCCACTGTACTGGCACCACTGGAGTCGGAAGGCTACGAGGTGCAAGCGCGGCGCGAAGGTAAGATTTGATGTGACATCACAGTCACGCTTCTTTCGACGCCCATAATGTTTCTCGTTCGCAATGGCTTATGTATGTATCCCTGAGCAAACCACGAAAAAGCGGCGCGTCTTCTCCTCGTTTGTTTCGTCAACCGGAACCCATTCAGAAATCCTCCAACTCGTTCGCGCTACACATACTCAAGCACATACTGAACAAGTCGACCGTCTTGGGACTGATTACATATCGGCATGCCCAACCTTGTCACTGGGCAGCTGCGGCATTCCCCCAACATGCCTGTGAAGCCCGCTGGACACCAAAAGTCCACGTCCACACCCTCGATATCAACGCTCCGCCGTAAATGCTGGACCAAGTATACCAGAACTTAGGTGCAACTTCGTACGAACCTTATCCTTGTGTGTTTCTTGGGTCAAATCCATTATTTACCCTCGTCCCTCGTTCCCGAAAACTTACCTCGTCAAATTCCGTTTCCCGAGACACAGCGTATTTTATAATCTGAAGTATATGTATCTCCGTCATCATTTGCAAGACTCCACTTCTATCTAGTGCATGACTTGGAATGTTGTTCAGCTTCCTCGCCGGAGGTTAACCTTCTTCGTGCAATTAAACCTCTTCCCGATTACATTGGCTCGAGCCAATTGCCGTGGACCCACCCCAGCATTTTACTCGACAATTACATCCTGAACCACATCTTTATTCTCCACCATATTGACTGGTGCACTGCACACTCTGCAGCATCGCGTTCACAAATGTGCTCACAGAGCTAGGCGCTCAATGTCTTCACATTCCTCGACATCCTGTTAATGTGCCTGAAAAGTCACCACTAGCAAGGAATCGAACTCAGCAACTTTCCGATGGCTGCCCAGTTATACGTATCCGGGAAAGAGAAAGCATAATAATAACTACTATAACAACACCCTATCCTACACACCCAACGACTCGTAACTTATTATGTCCGCGCCCCTTTACCAACGAGCACGACATCATCGAGGATATCCTGGAACCCGTCATGCTCGGTTCGCTTATATCTGAAGTCAAATCGGTCAGACGGTTGT